AAGTAGCCCGCAAATCAAAATGCGAATATGTTGCATTGTTGCTATTTTTTATGAGTTTGTGGATTTAATATTGCTGATTTTTTTTTGTATTTCTGTCTTGTGCAGTGATAGAAAATATGTATGTATACATTGTGACCGAAAAGTTTCCGGAAATTTTAAATAAAACGCAAAATTCTTTATCTTCATCAATATTTATTTTATCTCCTTCAAAATATGCTCCATTAGAAGCGATACACAAATGCCAACGTTTCTTCCAATCATCAAAACATTTTTTATAGGCGCTTTCCGGTATGGCTTTGAGTTTCCTCTGCGAATTCTGTTTTACGTCTTCTATGGATTCAAAACGCGTTCCTCTGAGTGGTAATTTGAGTTTGGGAAACAGGAAAAAGTCACACGGTGCAAGATCAGGTGAATACGGGGGCTGTTCGATGGTATTTATTGAATGTTTGGCCTTAAAATCGTTGATAATGTTGGCTCGGTGCGAGGGAGCATTATCGTCATGAAAAATCCATGAATTATCCTTCCACAATTGAGGCCGTTTACGGCGGATATTTTCACGCAAACGTCTTAAAACAGTCAAATAATAGGCTTTATTGACTGTTTGTCCTTCAGGGACGAATTCATGATGCACCACACCACGAATATCGAAGAAAACAATCAGCATTGCCTTGATTTTCGAGCGACTTTGGCGTGGTTTTTTCGGTTTCGGCTCGTCTTTTCCTCTCCATTCCGATGATTGTTGGCTTGTTTGCATGTCGTACTCGTAGACCCATGTCTCGTCACCCGTTATGATGCGTTCCATGAAAGTTGGATCGGAATTGGCACGATCAAGCATGTCTAACGAGACCTGTCCACGATGGTGTTTTTGGAACAAATTGAGGTGAATCGGAAAAAGCCGAGCGTTGACACGTCGCATACACAAATTGTCCACCAAAATCAAACGAGCCATCTCACGACCGATGCCTAGCTCTCGTGCTATCTCTCTAACACTCACATGAGGATTTTTGAACACGATTTCCTTTGCCTTTTCAATGTTTTCGTCGGTGGTAGAGGTCGAAGGTCGTCCAGAACGCGGCATGTCTTCGACGGTCGTACGACAGTCCTGAAAGGCTTTGTACCACTCATAAACTTGAGTTTTCGATAAAACTGATTCCCCATAAGCCTTTTGTAGCATTCGCAACGATTCTGCACACGAAAATTCGTTCGAAACACAAAATTTGATGCAAACTCTTTGATCAATATTTTTTTCCATTGTTTTTTTCGCAACGCACTACTGAGGTGAACTGGTTTAACAGCTGCCGTAAACGAACTGTCTGACAGATCGCGCTCATTTTTGGCATAGTAATTAAGGACAGTGCTGCCAAACTACATAAACTTAAAATATCGAAAAATATACAGCGCGCGAATTTTAAATGAGAATTTCCGAAAACTTTTCGGTCACAATGTATTTCTAAATACATATTGAATATTTTTGTTTCTTTTGTTAGGTTGCGTACTTTCCTATGCTTTTGTCTATGGTATTTGGCAAACGTATTTATAAATATATGTGCGCAAGTACATATGTATATATACATTTGTTTCCACTATGAAGTTGCTTGTATATATTTTTTTGTTTTGGATTGTTGCTTTTTTTATGAAATATACAGGTGTCTATTTTGCATGACTTTATTAGTTGTTTTTGTTTCAAGCAGTTATGCATGTGTGTCATGAATGTGTATATGTACTGATTGTACATTTGCCAAGTTTGGGAAGATCTTTGGATTTGTGCATTGAATAAAGTTATGCAAATTTGTAAACATTATATGTGAAGTGTATGAAAATAATGTATATGAAAATAATATAATTTTGTCTGTAACGAGATAAGCATTCTAAGTAAACGTAATGCTTAACTGGTAATAGACACATATCTTAGCTCTTTAAAGCTTTGTGAACAAAATCTAGAACTGAAATTCCACATGAAAGAGGTTTCTTCTGTGCGTTATTAAAGCTGGACAGTCACAAAGAATGTGCATGGTCATTTCCTCATCTTCGAGGCATAATCTGCATTCCGAGTTAGCAGATAATTGTAATTTATGAAGGTTATATTTCAGACCATAATGACCTGTTATGAAACCCGTTATCAACCTCAAGTTACATTTTGAGAATTTAAGAATGCCTTTGTAGGAATACGGTGTTATCAGTGCATTGGTGATAACAGATTAGCGTCGCAACCAATTATAAATATCTATAAGTCTTTCCATGGTTTTCAGGAGGAAGGATGAGAGACTAATCGGTCTATACGATTAAGCTATTACCATTTTTTGGTAAAAAACCACTTTCACTTCTCTCCAAGATTTAGGTATGTACTTCCACCATAGGCTAGAGCTAAAAAGAACCTTTAATGGATTGATGCCATCATTTCCTGGTGACTTGAAGGGACTGAAAGAATTAACTGCCCATCTGATTTTATCAATGTCAAAAATGATACCGAATAGTGATCTTAATCGATTGTCTGGTTGTTCATATCTAACGTGTGCCTATCTATGGATGCATCACATAAGATCGATCCTGGGAAGTGCACATGTAGTAAATATTGCAAAGTTTCCCTGCAATTCGCTGTGTAGAGACCATCACTCTTTTTAAGTGACCAATGTAATTTGAAAGAGCCTTTCTCAACATTCTATGAAGGCGAGCCATTTGCGAAGTGTTCTCAACACTGTCACAGAAAGTTTTCCATGACTTCCGTTTAAATTTTCTAATCTCATTATTGTACGCAGTCAAGCACGTTTTGTAGTCTACCCACACCCCTGATCGCTTAGCTAAATTAAAAAATTTCCTAACCTCCATACGCATTTTTTCGAGCCTGTTGTTCCACCATGGCACATCCCGTCAGGATGTACGTGATTCAACCTTACATGCATCTTCATGCGCCTGAGAGATAATTGAATTTATTTGATCTGCTGCTAATACAAGTTCATCAATATGACTGATTTAATTCAGTAATTGATCTTCCTTACTAGCTAAGGATAGGATAGGAAATCTTTAGTTTCCCAGTTGATACGCTTACGTGCAGCTGGCGAATTTTTATGTAAAATCTGACACGGCAGTTCAAAATGAATATGTCGGTGGTCAGATAATGAAACCTTCTTTGAGACCCTCCAATTAACAATATAATTGGAGATAAATTGACTAGAAAGAGTAAAGTCAAGAACCTCTCTTCTAATAGCATTAATAAAAGTTGGTTCAGAACCATTGTTCAATATGCTGATCTTATTACTACTAAAGTATTCTACAAGAATTTGCCCTCCTCTATTCATGTTAGTACTGCCTCATAAGGTATGGTGCGCATTAGCGTCGCAACCAATTATAAATTGTAAATTATTAGATTTGCAGTAACTTACCAAGTTCGTGACTGCTTCAGGTGGTGCTTCATATGCATCGCCTGGAAAGTAGGCCGATGCTATTACGATCTCTCGTGTTCCGCACTCCGTCAGGACCTCAAAAATGGTCGACACCAAGTCCCTTTGGATAAAATCTGGAATTGGAATACAGTTAACATTTTTATTTACTAGTATAGCAGTTCTAGGCGATTCTATGTCACGTCTATATATCAATTTACTTGATTGATGCTGAAGGCCTTTTATATGCCCACCGACTGTCCATGGCTCCTGGATAAGCGCTTTGGCCAGTCCTTTTGTGGCGAAGTTCCTACACAAAGTAGCCGATGCTCCTTTCGCGTAGTGCAGGTTCGCCTGTAACACCCCTATGGTGTTCATTTTAGTTGGGTTTTATTAAGAGAGTGTTCGACTTCCCTCTGAAGTCGAGCTCTTCGTGGCCCTCTTTCATTCCGGCGCTCTTTTGGTGTTGATGATGCTCCACCCAAAGGTGCCCGCATCGAAAGCCTCTTTTGGATGGCGCCTCTACTGGTAGATGGAACCATCTACCTGATTTAGTCTCGTCTGAGGTCAACTCTATGGCAGTCTCAATAATGCCCTCCTGTAGCTGTGTAATCTGTTTCCTGTTTAGGGGGCACTTAGCCAAATCAAAAGGAACAAACCCTAATTTGATCCCTTTGACCTGACTGGCTACTTGGCTAAATGTAGGTTTGCTCGATCCCTGAATCGAGATGTTCTGCCTTGGTTTCTTACCGGCTGGCATGACCATGTCGTCAGATAAAGCCCTTTTAGTTGGCGCACGAGGTGGGAGTTTAGACACCATGTCTAGTGCCACATCCCTAGAGTGTCCCTGGCTCATATAAGCCTTGAATCTCCTCTTTTGCATTGAGTTCAGTTTTACAAAACCTTTCTGGTCATGTAAACTGATCCCTTCCATGCTGACATTGACAACGGTAGCACCTGACTGTTCAGAACAAAGACTGACTTCATCAATGTCAATAGAGGCAGCATCAGACCCTTCAGTTTCTGTGCTGCTAGCATCAGTATACTGTAGAAAAACAACATTTTCCACAGCGTGTATATTTTTACAAATGTATCCAACAGCATCATCTACAAAACGTTCACTGACCTGTGACACAGCAGTCGAATGGTCGTTGTTTTTTACCTGCCCGACAGCAGTAATGTTTGATGCGATAAGGGTAGCATCATTCCCTTTATTTTGTTCATTAAATATATCCATAAGATATCCCACGTGTATTAGGGAAGTATAAAGTCGCCGTCGGCAGAGGCCATTTACCGACAGAAGGCAAATTGAAAGCGGAGGTCGCCTGGTATCCACAGTTTGCTATTAAGGTCGTCACTAGACCCGAGACCAAGTTCCTACAGGCATAGCTGTTCCACCATTCATTGGGGGGTTGTTCGGGTCTCATTCATACATTCACACATACTACACCATACATCCTTCCTCCTTCAATGAAATGCTATGTAATAATGAAACGAAAACTTAGTCCTCAAAAAAGCAATTGAAAAGGTGCTAAAATAACTGAAACTATAAAAGATAGTGCACCTACAAGCATTCTTTCTGGTAATAGATTTGCTGAATTAGTTGAAACTACAGAGAAGGCTAATTAGCCTATTACCAAAAATTTTAAACCGCCTCCAATCTACCTGCGTGAACGCAGCTCAAATAACCTAGTTACATTCCTTGTACGTCTGATTGGAAATAATACGTTTCATATTGTTCCTATAACTAGGGACAATATACACGAAACCAAAATCCAAATCGACACTGAAAACAATTTTAGGGTCATATTTCGAAGACAGCAAAAAATCTTACTACACATACCAACTGAAGAATAGTAAAGGCCTTGTTGTCGTCATAAAAGGTATTGAGTCAGATGTAGAACCCATTGGGATAACAAATGCCCTAAACGAAAAAGGCTTTACTGCTAGAGCAGTTATAAACATTGTTAACAAAGATAAAATCCCACAACCTATGTTCAAAGTTGAATTTCACCCGGAAGCTACTAAGCTTAAAAAAAATGAGAGCTATCCTATTTATAACCTACAATATTTACTTCACCGCAGAATTAGCATTGAGGAGCCCCACAAAAGAAATTGTCCGGTGCATTGCACAAACTGCCAAGAGTATGGCCATACTAAGTCAAATTGCACTTTTCATACAATGTGCGTAGTTCCGAATGCGATAAAAAAGCATTAAAGGATACCAACTCCAAAAAATGTAGCACCTGCAGTGGAAATCACACTAACTCTGCAGAGGCTGTCCTATTTATAAAGAACTGAAGCACAGGTTAGCTTTGCAGAAGGAAGCGGTGCGTAATCCTACAAGAAGCAAAACCATGAAATTAGTTGAAGTACCTCAACCTTTAACTTCTAAGCCTGTTACACCAGGTGCTACATATGCAAATGTCGTTAAATATGACAATCAACAAGTCCCTCCAGTTCAAAGTAATAGTTTGGAAATGATGATCTTTACTCTCACCCAAAGCTTAACTCTTAAATGGTTTGCAATTAATGCAAATGTGTTTGTCTAATAAATGAGTACTTTAAAAATTTGTACATGGAATGCAAACGGCTTAAGCCAACATAAACTTGAACTCATAAATTTTTTGTCCCGAGAAAGTCTGAATGTAATGCTTTGCTCAGAAACACATCTAACAAATAAAAATTTCTTTTCTATTCCTGGTTATTTATTCTTGGTTATTCCTGGTTAGATTTCTTGCGACGGGAGACTACAATGCCAAGCACACGTATTGGGGTTCATGGCTCTGTAATCCAAAAGGAAAACAGCTCCACAATTCCATTCTAAATAGAAAAAATGCACTAGAAGTAATATCTCTTGGGCAGCCAACATATTGATCTGCTGTTAACAATAAAATAACAGACCTAATAGACTTCGCAGTGACTAAAGGCATAAGCAGAAATTTTATCTCAACACACACAAGCTGCAATTTGTCTTCTGACCATTCTCCAGTTATATTTTGCTTACTTGATGATCCTCAGCTATATGACTGTTCCTATAGCCTTCAAATATAAGAAGTACATTAATTTTACTTACACACAAATTACAAGATAAAGTGTAAGTCGCATATTGAGGATGCAACCTCGGTTTTAAACTCAATTCTGATTTCAGCAGCAGAAAACTCCATCCCTAAAGACAATAAAATTTACACATCCAATAACGTACTTACAAATAGAGACAGAGAATTTAGTTTTACAAAAACGTAGATTAAGGCATGAATGGCAAAAATCTAGGTCCCCTTTAACGAAAAACTTATTTAAGGATTGCCCAAAGGAGACTTAGATCTGTATTAAGCAAGGAAACCAATGTCAGGCAATATAATTATATTCGAAACCTATGTCCAAATGGCAAAAACCATAAAATCCGATTCTCCAATAAGAACTCTCTCGGAAACTGGGCGCGAAGTAATAAAGAAAAATCCAACGTTTTTGCTGATTACCTAGAAGAGATGTTCCAACCAAATCTTGCAACAGGATATTATGACTTTCCCGCTCAGGATCTACATGCACCATCTATTGACATGAATATCACGGCCAATGATCTTCTTCAAATAATCACAAACAAGTTAGATTGCAAAAAGGCACCGGGATATGATAATATCTCACCCATCATGATAAAAAACTTACCGCTTTGGCTATAAATTTTATAAGAATACTTTTTAATGTTATTATTAAATTTGGCTTTTACACAATAGAGTGGAAAACATCCATGATTATTATGATTCATAAATCAGGTAAAGATCCCACGCTTACTGCCATGCCTTTATAAACTCTTTGAAAGAGCACTGCTTTCAAAGCTAAAACTGTTCCTTGACGTTCAAAACTAAATAACCTTTCACCAGTTTGGTTTTAGGGAAAAACATGGAACTATTGAGCAAGTGAATCGTATAACGAAAAAATAAGACACGCATTTGAGCTCAGAGAATATTGTTCCGCGGTATTCCTCGATGTTAAACAAGTATTTAATAAAGTATGGCATAATGGGCTTATATATAAGATACGCTGTTCATTACCTGCAAATAGTAGCTTTCAAGTGAAAGGTGCAAAGCTTAGAAGCTGGCGTTCCACTAAAAAGTGTTCTTGGCCCTATCTTGTATGTACTTTACACATCTGATATCCCGATAAGTAGTTCAGTTGTTACCACAACGTTTGCCGATGATACGGCAATTTTTATGCATTGGCTCATTAATAACAGATCTTCCCTGTGCCTAGAGTATAAAGTACTCTTGTATAACAGCATCATAAAACCAATATGGACTTATGGTATTCACCTATTTGGTAATACTAGTGCTTCAAATATTGAAATTATACAAAGAGCTCAGTCAAAAATACTAAGAATTATCACTGGTGCCCCATGGTATATTAGGTATGAGAGTATACACCGAGATCTACAAATTCCCCTAGTTAAAGCTGAATTTGACAATATAAGAAAAAAACACAATAAAAGGCTGACAGAACATGTTAATCCCTTAGCAAGAAATCTCGCACTTCTATCCATTACTTCCCGCCTAAAAAGAGTTGACCGTTCAGCCATTAATTAATATTCAATAGCTTGAAGTAAAAACCGCAACTTTCTTTTTAGTAATCTGATAAAGTCTGATAAAGAAATCTCGCACTTCTATCCATTACTTCCCGCCTAAAAAGAGTTGATCGTTCAGCCATTAATTAATATTCAATAGCTTGAAGTAAAAACCGCAACTTTCTTTTTTTTTTTGCTTTCTTAATGTTGACGAATCAACAAAAAATTAAGAACTAGGTCATGAGTTAAACAAAAAGTAAAAATTAGGTCATAAGTAAAGCATTCGCAACTATTGCTTATTAAGCAATTTGTGCGAATTAAGTAATAAGCTATTTTATTTATTGTATGTTTTGCAATTACGGTTGCATTTTATTTTGTATAAAAGAACAAATCAATTTAAATAAAATCAGTTGTTGAAAGTAAATCAACGTCTCACCAATCTTTTATTGCTTCCCCCACCAGTGGTAAGGTATATAAAGATTGTTAATGAACATTTTTGTTCATTTTTGGTCCTTCGAGCCGGATTTTTGAAATTTCCCCCACCAGTGGTAAGAGTTTCAAATATACCTAACAAAGAGACTTAAAGTCTAAGATTGAAGTTAATACAAGCGTACCGAGGCTTTTAACATCGGAGTGAAGTTAATACAAGCGTACCGAGGCTTTTAACATCGGAGTGAAGTTAATACAAGCGTACCGAGGCTCTTAACATCGGAGTGAAGTTAATACAAGCGTACCGAGGCTTTTAACATCGGAGTGAAGTTAATACAAGCGTACCGAGGCTTTTAACATCGGAGTGAAGTGAATGCAAACGTAGCATCGAAGTGAAACAAGCAGAAGCGTACCGAGGCGCTCAACAAATCAAATCAAATACTAACAGAGGACATCATGGAGATCGAAGAGATAGATCAAGTTATCCAACATCAAAAGGACATTGAAGGTGAGATCCAGAGGATCTGGATAAATTTTAAAAAGGATTCTTCTACAAGATATTCAAAGCAGTATTTTGAGACACGTTTGGAAAATTTGCGTCAGAAATGGGACGCATTTGAAGACAACAATGATAATCTGATGAAGAATTTGAAGCCTGATCATGAATATATCACAAAAAATTACTATGGCCAGTTACAACAAAGACGGAATGAAATCGAAAATCGATTTAATAATGAATTGGAAATAATAAGGCAAATTGAGCAAAAGGAAGCTCAAGTTTCAAGGCATCAAGTTATAAGAGGGCAAGAAGAAGCTCTGTCACTAAGGAATCAAGACATAAGTATCAATGACGAAGTCACCATCACCGGGCCATGTGATATTACGAACAAACGTTTAGCAATCTTAAGTACAAGTCTGTTGCAGATCAAAGAGACAATAGACTTAACGAAAAGTATTGAAACGTTACAGTTCAAATTGGAGAAATTGAAGAATTGTTGGGCAAAGATCTCACAATTAAACGATGAATCTCTGTTTAACAATGATGAAATAGACCAAGGAGATTTCATTCAACTGGAATCGATATACGAAGAAGTATATATCCAGTTACAAGAAGAACTGAACGTTCGCAGTCAAAACGTTTCAGAAACTAGAACAACCGTAAGTAACAATATCAAACTACCACCGTTGAATGTACCAATATTCAATGGCAGATTTGAAGAGTGGTGTCCATTTTAGGAATTGTTCGACCGGTTAGTTCAACAAAGCCATAATCTAGTGGATGTAGAAAGAATGCAGTACTTAAAAGGAAGTCTACGGGGAGAAGCCGCCAGACTTATCAATCATTTAACAATAACAGCGAACAATTATACAGCGGCAGTTGAACTACTGAAACAAAGATACAACAATCCAGCAATACTTGTGGACAATCTTATCAATAAGTTATTGTCGCTCAGAGCTATAAGAAACGAGAATGCACAGGATTTAAAAACAGTAGTGGATTCTTCTAGAGAAGTGTTATATGGTATACGTAATTTAAATGTGGACACGTCAAGTTGGGATCCACTAATAATACAGATACTGCTTCCAAAATTAGATGGTGAAACCAGAAAATTATACCAACATTCAAGAGGGGCATCAACACAAATACCAAAATTGAGCAGCTTATACGAGTTTATCGAGAGCAGAGTTAGAGGATTGGAGGCAATTCGAGACACAAATCGCGAAAATAAGAATAATTTTCGACCAACAGCAGTAAATACAAAAACGCATGTAAATACAATACATACGCTATGTTTAGTGTGTAATGGTGACCACCAATTAATTCGATGGTCAAAGTTTCTGAATATGAAGGTGCCGGAACGTCGTGAAAAGATTATGAGCACCAAATTATGTTTTAATTGCCTTCAGAGTGGGCATTTTAGTAAGTTGTGCTTGAATAAAAAAAGATGTGCAATTTGCGACAAAAAACACCATCAACTTATTCATGAACAAGTTAAGGGCAAACCAACATTCACAAATAACATAAGTAAACAGAGGATGCCAACATTGAAGAACACCACAGAGACCGAAGTGGCAGCGTCGTACAACATCCAAAAGGAAAAAACTGTTTTACTAGCAACAGCAATGGTAATTATAAGGACTAAAAAACAAGTTAATCCGATACGAGCTTCTTGATCAAGGATCACAATCTTGTATAATAACAGAACAATTAGCAAGATCAATCAGAGCACCATTGACCAATTATCAAACTCATGTAAAAGGTATCAATGGACAAACAACAAGCGTTATAGCCAAATGTTCATTAGAAATTCAATCTATACATGATGAAAATAAGAGCTGTCATATCGAAGCAATAGTGTTACCAAAAATCACATCAAAAATGCCAAATGCAGAATTCACGCCAGGAAAATGGTCGCATATTGCAGTTAGCAGATCCTTGGTATGCTGAACCAAAGGAAATACAATGTACAAATACAATACAAAGTAGAAGAAAGGCATTGTGAGCGACATTATGATTCAACTTGCACCCACGATAAAACAGGACGATACATCATTAGGTTACCACTGAAAAATGATCGAAAAACGTTAGGTGAATCCAGAAAGATGGCATTAAAACGGTTCTTTTCATTGGAAAAACGATTTAAGAAGAATCCAGCACTAAAGCAAGAGTATGTGAACTTTATGCGAGAGTATATCAAGCTGGGTCACATGAAGGAAGTTAATGAGAAACCAAAGACAAAGGTATATTATTTGCCGAATTATGCAGTTATTAAAGAAGACAGCACGACAACAACACTTCGAGTGGTGTTTGATGCGTCCGCAAAAACGACATCAGGACAATCACTGAACAGTATTATGATGACAGGTCCTACATTACAAAAGGATTTATTCATTCTATTATTGCAGTGGAGAATGTTTAAAATAGTTTTTACGGCTGACATTGAAAAAATGTATCGGCAAATACTGATTCATCATGATGATAGAGATCTTCAACGAATTTTATGGAGAAACGATCAGAAAAAACCAATAAAAGAATACAAATTGAACACGATTACATATGGTACTGTATCAGCACCATATCTTGCCATCAAGACGTTGTTTAAGCTAGCAGAAGACGAGAGAATTAATTATCCTTTGGCAAGTGAAACCTTAAATGAAAAATTTTATGTAGACGATTGTTTGGGAGGCGCTAATACGATTAAAGAGTGTAAACAAGTACAAGAAGAATTAATCCAATTATTGCGGAAGGGAGGTTTTAATTTAAGAAAATGGGCATCAAACGAACCCGAAATGTTGACGAATATCCAGATAAAAGACATTGAACCAGGGTTAGAGATGCAATTTAACAACGACCAAGCAATTAAAATTTTAGGAATAAAATGGTGTCCTAAATTGGATCAGTTTGAATTTAAAATAAATACCACGTCATTCAGCTCAAAATACACAAAAAGAGCAATTTTAAGTGATGCTGGAAAACTATTCGATCCATTTGGTTGGTTGTCACCTGTAACCATTAAAGCAAAAATTATGATACAAAAATTGTGGATGCTAGGAATTAGTTGGGATACAAAGATCCCACCCAATCTACAGACACAATGGGAAGAATTTAAATTGAGATTACCTGCAGTTCAGAAAATAACCATGAAAAGATGGACACCACATTCAGAGAATAGTTTAATCGAGTTACATGGTTTTGCAGATGCGTCAGAAGCAGGATATGCTGCAGTTGTATATACAAAGGTTATAAATGCAGAAAAGGTTACAATATCCCTAGTAGCATCAAAAACCAAAGTTGCGCCTATTAAGCAGGTATTATTAGCCCGATTGGAGTTATGCGCAGCTGTGTTATTGATAAAGTTGATTAATTACATTCAGAAGAATAAAAAGATTACCTATAGTAAAGTTATTGCATGGTCAGATTCAAAAATTGTATTAAATTGGCTAAGGCAATACCCAAATAGATGGACTACGTTTGTAGCAAACAGAGTATCGTATGTTCAGGATACGTTTAAAGGGCAATTTAGATTTGTTCCAGGAAAAGATAATCCAGCAGATATTCCATCAAGGGGAGTATATGGTGACAATCTTATTTCAAATACATTATGGTGGCATGGTCCAAATTGGCTAATAAAAGATGAATGAAATTGGCCAGAAAATGATGAAGTAATAGATTTGAATCTTATTCCGGAAACCAGAAAAACTGCAATATGTACCGTCGTGGACATTACCAAAGATGAAAATATTATTAATCGATTTTCTTCATTAAACAAACTTCTTCGAGTGACAGCTTATTGTCTTAGATTCGTTTACAATTGTCATAAAAAGAAATCCGAAAGAAAGATCGACATTCTGTCGGCAGACAATATCGATGCAGCAGAAATTGTGTTGGTGAAGCAGGCACAAAAATGTTTTTCAGATGACATCAGACGGCTTAATCTTCAGAAACAATTAATGAAAAGTAATAAGTTGTGTTCATTAAACCCATTTGTTGACAGTGCAGGAGTACTAAGAGTGGGCAGCAGATT